TTTATGTGATTGAACTGTATTGCACATGTACATTTGGAAACACGACTTTTTCTGACATCCTGTATGAAGCACCTGCGTTTTTCTTTGTTTGATCTCGTCTTCATTCCAGCCTTAGAATAATCTCATCTCTGTTGTATGCTGTGCAACAAAACATACATTTTTTTTTCAATCATGAGATTTGACGCTGTGGTTGGTGGTCTGCAATTACTGAATGCTGATATTCTTGTCAAGCTGAAGCTCTACAGCCCGTGTGATGTAGACAGCACATGAATATCGTGCTGCAAAGCCTGTCTGTTCTCCAAATTCCAGCTGCTATCTGGAGGTCTGACACCCTGAGATGTAAAAGATAAATATCAGTACGTGTGGCAGACCAACGGGCAATCACAGATACCATGTTCAACCTGCGGATAAGTTATAATTGTGATAACCGTCACGGCCACCAGCCTAGTGTAACGTAGGGTACTATACTGGTAAAGAGTTAGTAATAATCTAAATATCAGAGCACGGGTTTGTTTTATTATGGTCTTTTTTCCTTGTAAACCGTGTGGGTTGAGGCTAGCACATTGAGCAGCCCAATCACCGATGATATGTCTATAATACAAATTACAATTTTTAGGTACATCAACATGTACCTGCCAAAAATATAACTACGACGATTGGAAAATTTAAGTACTTACAATTGACAGTCCACGAAGCCGCCTAAGCACTTGCACACATTTTGCTGTTTACTTGTATCCTTCAAAAAACATAAACAAAAAACAAAAAATAAGTACTGATCAATTATCGAATTTTACTCAGTTTGGACCTCATTACTGCTGGTTAGTAGAGGGTGTTTAGATACTTTGAAGTAATTGAAACTGCATGTTAGAAAAAATAACACCATTAAAAAACACTTACAGTTCCTCATCCCAAACCTAAGTGGTGTGATTTCCCTTTAGACCGGTTTTGTTGATAGAGTTTGTATCCCTTGATTGGTGAAAATCAACTGGTGCAAATATTGAGTGAATCGATTCAGGTAAATGTAACTTTAAACTACAATCATTAATCCCACAAGCTTGGCAAGAATCACAATCATGTGTCCTTATTATTTATATGACAATTAGGTTTTATATTTGACAATTGTGCTTTTGCAATGTACAAAAGCCCCAGGTTTCTATTAAGTGTTTAGGCTGTAGTATTCTTAGTTCTTACACAGATATAATTCAATGTACTCGCATTAATCGTACATTTGTTGAAAGCTCACAGACGTATCGGTGACCAGGGTGACGTAGTGGTTAGACTCTTACATTCAGGCCCGACAGTCTTAGTCTCCAATCCATATGGAGACGGATTTTTTTTGCTATAACTGATCTTGGCTCCGAGGTCGAGCAGTATAAAAAAAAATAATCTACCTGACCACTTACTGAGAAAACCTGACTAGTACTAGGTGAGATTTTAAATACATCTAAAAACCCATATTATACGGTCACTTGACTTTCCCATGCACTGGGTAGCTGTACATTAGTTAATTACCTCGAACATTTTTTTGCCACCTTTTCCCTTTTAAGCTATACCAATTGCGGCGCAAATGAAACATTGGAAAAGAGGCAAGTGGTGGGGGTGGGGGCGGGGGAGCAATGTGGCTCTCTTTTGTCAGTTTGATGTGGACAATGTGAGGCTCAGGTAGTTTGACGACACCTGGCGGCTCGGGTGAGATTGGAGTAATTTACAGTTCTGGGTCGGTTGTATCTATGTATCTGTTAGTGGCGGTGCACACGGAGTATGGCCATGCGAGCAGGGTTGGGCGGGGCGAGGGATCCAGCAGTTATATAGTAGAATAATTCAATCTAGGTGTATTAATTGGTTTCGTTAAAGGGGATAATAAGTACATATTACAATAAAATACAAACACAATTATCAAATACAGGAGCAGGTGTATGCTGGGGCTCAGGGGTGGCTTGTGATCAGTCACCACCATCATGTATCTGGTCAACAGACGTGGGTTATCAAGTCTCTCTGGGTCTGATGTGATGTCTGTTGTTAGCTGATGAGCAGGTCGTTATGTTGGCGTATAGATATGAGAGGATCAAGGTGCCAATTCTTTCATCTGTCCATCTTCGTGCTGGTAGACTCCTGTGTTTCTTTCTGCTATTCTGTGACGCTTTATAAGGCCACTATATTTCGAGACGATATGCTGTTTACTAGCCAATCTTTCATAGTGTTCAAATCTTTTAGTATGTATGCTTTCTCTCCACCCCCCCCCCCCACCCCCCACCTGTCCATGGTATTCAGACAATCTATTTTAAATTTTTTATTTCTTTTTAAAGAATTTCAGCTGAAAAGCAAACATTTCCTTCATAACGGATTGCGACAGTCCACGACTTACATCTCTATAATACTAGAGAGAAAATTTATGTTTTCACAATTTTGAATTTGATTTGTGTGTGTGTATGTGTGTGTGTGTGTGTGTGTGTGTGTGTGTGTGTGTGTGCATGGCTGGTTAAGCAAAGACATTCACTGTTATTTAATGTTTGCATTACTGTGGTAATCCTCCTGTCAACTTCTGTTGAACTGTATCCAGTTCTGTTTATTAAGGAGTCTAGATATTCGAAGTAAGTGGCATAGTCAATTTCTTCTTTCCTTTTTGTTTTTGTTACGCTTCTACAATGAGTCTCGTGTTGAAGCGTTTGTAATCTGTTGTGCCGGCAAAACTCAAGCATGCCCACTCCCTACAACAGTAATACCTGTTGTCACCCATCAGAGGTTTTCTGGATTGCTATTTGCAAAAGACAAATCTCAAGACGGAGTGGTAGAATGAATATAAACAAACAAGAAACAACATTGACAAAAGACATTCTTTACTGTAGAACTGTTTTTATGATATTCCGATAACAAATGTAGAAGATTACAATGACTCATCTGGATCGGCAACTGGACATCCCCGGATCACTACTGACACTGACTGGGTGATGATAACGTCGCTGTAGAAAATCCCCCAGAGAGTCTTGAAATACAGGCCACACATCTGAAGCTTGCCCAGTTTGTTGATGACTGCATGTCTTCTGAGCTAACAGAGGTTGATGTTGGCGTTCGCTGCTCTAGTAAGAAGCTGTCGGTATAATATCACCACATGTCTCATGATATCAGAAGGCTTGGCCAGACATCAACAAATACATTAAGTTTTAAAAGTGTCGTTTATATTATCAGAAGGTTGCGAAAAAACATTGGGCACACAGGACACTGGGAAGAGAGGTGGCAGTGGGTGGGCTGAGCATATTTCACATAAGGAACCATTTCTAAAATTATTATGAAGTCAAGAAAATGCCAATTTTTACACAACTGACACAGAGCGAATCAGACAAGTAAAACTAAAGGACCTTTTTAAAATCCTTCAGGAGTATTAGGCTTGTACGGCATGACCTTTTTTATATAGATCTATCGGGACATAGTGAGTTATGTGGTCAGCATTGCGTCGGTCGCCTTTACATCCTATGACTGTACCTTGAACCCACTCAAGGCTAGGTCGACTTGGCAGTTAAGGTTTTTTTTTTTTTTTTAATACAGTCCAGCTGTCACTGCAATAGGTTGCTTCAATGCGAGCCGGAAGCCGTGCAAATGAGGAGTCTTTTGTTGAGTTTCTTAACTACAGTATCCTAACATACATAGAGAGAATTGTGGTTAGATGCAAAACCGCCAAGAATAAAGCAACCAACGGTGGACATCGGGCCCATAAAAGAAAATATTTTTTTGGATAGACCAGAAAACATCAGCAACATCTGGATACCAAAAGTGCACACCGTAATACAGAACATCAGTAATTTTGAAAGATGAAGCGGTGAGCAATAGAATCAGAGAATAAATGCCTATATCCTAGAGGAGAGTCCCAGGGGACCATCATAATCACGGATCAGGTCATTGCTTTTGTCTTACTCCATCCATAAGGCTAAGTCGCCCAGGTTTTGGTTGCTGAGTTATCCTCTACTACCACGTGTGGACAATTCACAAATAATGAGATAAAAAGAAGACAACAAAACTGCACTTATCAACAAACATAGGCAAACTTAGCTGCAATGAAAAAAAAAAAAAAAAAAGAACGAAATACAACAACGCTTACAACAAAATATAAACAACAGCAATGTTGAACTAGCATAAAAAAAAGCATTTAGTTATTGAGAGTAGACAGTTTGCCAGCAAAAAGAAAAAAAAAAGGGGTGTGGGGGGTGTCAACTACATCAACCAGCCTTCGCTTTCTGAAGAGGCTCCTAAATTAATCACCATCATGTAATACGTATTTTCTTTCTTTCTTTTTTTTTAATTTATTGTATATTAAACCTTATACTTGGCACTTATCTAGTATGTCAGCCTCATGTCTTTGTAATGTAGAGTAAAATCTTCGACAACAGAAATACAATTGTGTCACGAAACTCTGGTAGTCAAGCGCTATAATCGACGGCAACAGTAAGCAGGGGAGATTAAAAAACACACATTATTAAGTATTTAAGTCAAGGGTAATTATGAAACAGGTATGTTGGAAATATAAACACAGAATATTGATTACTTGTAGAAGTCACACTCTTTCTACAAACAGAAAATAACTAATATACATCGTATGTTTTGTTTGTGGATTTGGCAATTGCTTTAATAAGAAATATTTAATAAAGGAAATTGCTTTGGATTTTGCTAAGTTGGTTAGCCACAAATAATTAATTGTTATAACTTCCTATATTCTTACGTCCATTTTTGGACGTAATGTTTTGTAATTTGAAGCCTCACTCTGGCTTTTGCCAGGGGCCGCAATATAGGCAGGCCATAAATATGGCCAATTGTATGAACGCGGTTTCTGGGACCTCTCCACGGTGATCCTCATCCACATGGTGGCACTTTGTGTCATCGGGTGTTTATTGCTTGTGTGATGTCCTGGTGGGGTAGAAAGTCAGTCAATTGTATAAGTCTCACAGTCGCCTCGCCAGAGCGGCTAGACGCTACAGAGATCATGCGTTTTCCTGTCCAGTTTTATTCGCATGGTTGCCACGCTCCTCTCCATCTTCTCACTTTTAAACCGAAACATGGCAGACCCTAGAGCTGAACCTACCTTCCTTGCCGTCAAACCCGATGGCGTTCAGAGAGGACTCGTTGGCGAAATCATCAGTCGTTTTAGGAAGCTTGGTTACCAGCTTGTAGCCGGCAAATTTGTCTGGCCATCCAAGGATCTTCTGCACGACCACTACGCTGAGCTGTCCAGCAAGCCATTCTTCCCTGGTCTCATCGAGTACATGAGCTCAGGCCCTGTTTTTGCCATGGTTTGGGAAGGCACAGATGTCGTGAGCGTGGGCAGAAAGACGATTGGTGCTACAAACCCACGGAAGTCCCCTATTGGGACCATCCGAGGAGACCTTGCTATTGATGTTGGCCGAAACATCTGCTATGGTAGTGAATCTGTTGGAACTGCAGAGCGAGAGATTGCCTTGTGGTTCACCACTGATGAGGTCGCCAGCTATGACCTTGCCAGAAGAATTGGATTTATTAAAAAAAATTACTTCTAGTTAACATCACACTTTCCATGTCTTATTATATGTGCAACGATTCCGCACTGTAGTTAAGTTATAGGATAATTTGACGCACTATGCAGTAAAATTGCACCTGCCGTTCTGTCTAGATTAAGACAGCTCTAATAAAGATAGCTATACACGCAGACGCTTTTGGTTGAAGAGAAATTGTGTAACTGCAAACATTATTTAAAAGATCTACAGTAATCATCTTTGTCTGGGTGGGTGTTGATCGCTTGCCCTAAACGTTTATTTCAACAGTGACTAAGATATCCTGTACAATGACAGTTGTTTTTGACAAATTCATATTTGTGTCACAGAATCTCAACTGTAGTATGTATGTTTTGAGAAAACGTCTACTAACATTAATGCGACTACAATAAAAAGTAACTAAAGAAAAAAAAATACTTTATATGAGCAAGGCGTATTTGATCCTAGTCAGTTAACATCTGTTAATAAAATCCATACAGCTTTCGAGCACATTAAACCGACGTGTATCAATTTTTAATTTCGTGCCATTCATGACGTATGAATGTAAGTCATGGGCAATAACAACAGCTCACAGAAGCCAGCGTCAGACCTAAAAAATATGGTGTTTTGGAAAAGTTGTTAAAGTTACTAGAAATGACAAAGTTCACAAACAAGCAATAGATCATGACCTTGAAACCCAGGCTCTACACACTCAAGTACATCAGTCACAGTTATGATAGCGTGAACATGTCTGCAGTAAGGGAGAGAATCGTCCACCACGACAGTCACGGGAGACCAAGAACCAGGGAACCAGACCTCCAGGGCCATCCAGGGTTCGCTGAGAAGACAACATCCCAATACCAGACTGACAGAAGACTGGAATAGAACAAACACAACATTCGACAGTCCCTGACTGACAGAGGACTGGAATAGAACATAGACAACATCACACAGTCCCTTACTGACAGAAGACTGGAATAGAACAAAGGTAAAGATAAACTGGCAAACCTCTACACCACAAGATGGAAGAGGAACGGCTAAGTAAAAAGTTAACACAATTACACATTTTTAATTTCACTGGATCCATATTTTATATTGTTTAGTACGACATTTGACGGGTACGCAAAGATGTGCTCACTTATATTTAAATAGTTCAATCCGTTATCACAAAGGCAGTGATATCAATAAGATAATGTTTTACACAGGCAGTGATATCAATGAGATAATGTATCACGTAGGCGGTGATATCAAAGAGATAATCTCTGAATGATAGTTTTCCAGTTAAAAAGACGATTGCTCGCAACCTCTAGTTTTCATTTGGCTTATAACAGCGCCTTCTTCACGTGAAAGGTAGGACGATATAGATATGGATGCACTATTCCCTGACCAGTGTCGTGGAATTAGTCATATTGACTACACTGGTCATCTACTGAGAAGTAGACATTACTGTAAACATCCTTTAATTGGACATGCCACTCCAAAAAATTATAGAAGTACCAACAACATAACTCAGTTGTCCATCTCTAATGACTCCCCGATGATCAGACTACACCATTATATAGCAGTCACCAGACCTTGAGACCCATGCTATCAAGTTCATACTGGTCTAATGTAGTGATGACGTCATGACTTCTCGGGAAGCAGGTTATCTGGGTGACCTTCATGGAGGGTCTAATCGAATGTTTCCATAACTGACGTCATCTTTAGGCCAGAACGACTATGTAACATCACCATATGTCACCACAGACAGCAAGGATGTCATCATTCAACACAATCAAGCGAGAAGCTGAGTTCTACATGTCTTTGACATCTCCAGGAGATAACATTTAAAAAAATCATATATGTAAAGTGCACGCGATAATGTTTCTCTAGTGAACTGTGGATATTATTTCGAAAGAATTTATATGTATCACTTATAAATATTCAGTCGTATCTACATGTACTGAAGAAAAAAGGGCACTATGAGCAAGTGCCACTGACTACTTAAAAAAAATTCATATCATTTTGGTTTGAAAAACGTCCTAGGTTTTTTGAGAGGTGTCCATTTTAAAAAGAAAATACTGTCTATATATATATATATATTAGGGCTGTACCGAATAGTGATTTTCACTATTCGGCCGAATACGAATAACGGGACCAACTATTCGGCCGAATACGAATACGAACAGTGAATAGTGTATGAAATATACCCCCCCCCCCTCTTTTTTTAACCACAATAAAACACACACACACACACACACACACACACACACACACACACACACATTCATAATGTCAAATGTAGGCTGAACTTTTACTTCACATAAAGTAGCACTGAATAGTCATCTTCTTCTTTAGCATTCTGAGCCCTTGTTTACTGCTGCATACTGTTTTTGAAAACCTGTAATAAGGCCTCATATTTGTCATTTCTGCTTCAAGTTTCAGAGCCCAATAAAACGACTGGTCTTTTCAACATTTTATATATTTTGATCTTGGTGTTGCGAGACAGACAATTGGACTTTAGCAGATGTTGAAGGGCATAGTATACTTTATTTCTAGATTGTATTCTAGATTGTATTTCTTCTCTCAGCACGTTGGAGCCGTTGAAGTTTGCATCCAAGTACTTATATGTTTCCGTTCGTTTGATTTTCACATTATCGACTTGGATGAGGCCCGAGTTTATACTCTTTCCATGTCTAGTTAGTATTCGTACAGAATAGTGAACATTTAAAAACATTTTATATTTTGCATCCTTCAGTCAGTCTGTGGTAACTAATAACTAGGAATGAAAGAATCCTAAGTATTATAACAAGTAACTAAACTTGAAAATTGTCACTGACAGCTTTGCATGAAAGCTGCATTAACTTTCAACAAAACCAATCTTTCCATGTTGTCAGCATAAAGGCCGTGTATGCAGAAGCGGGTGAAAGGTAACTACTATTCGTATTCGGCCCGACTACAACTATTGGGCCGAAAACCGAATAGTCAATAGGTCCACTATTCGGCCCCGAAGCGAATACGAAGCGAATATTCGGTACAGCCCTAATATATATGTGTGTGTGTATACACACACACACACATACACACACACACACATATATATATATATATATATATATATATATATATATATATATATATATATATATATATATATATACGTTTTTAGCAATCGCTATTACAAGGCGAATTTGGTTGCACCAGCCACATTTTTATGTATCGTGAACTCTTTGATGAGACTTTCATTTCAGCTGACTGACTGACTGACTGACTTTCTACCCCACTAGCGATAAACACCCGATGACACAAAGTGCCACCATGGGGATAAGGATCGCCGTAGAGGGGTCCAAGGAACCGCGTTCAGACAATTGGCCATATTTATGAAATGCCTATATTGCGGCCCCTGGCCAAAAGCCAGGGTGGGGCTTCAAATACCAAAAAAAATTCGTCCTTAAAGGGACGAAACACCTTAACGTAAGCAATAACAATTAGCGTGTTAACTATTTAAAAAAAAAAAAAAAAACAAACACGTGATTCTGTCACGTACTCCGAAAATGGTGTACTGAGATAAGGGGTGTCACGTGGTGGATTCGCCTTCCAGTAGTATTATTACTGAAACACCCACCACTCAGTGAAGGTGTAATTGTTTCTGGTCGCTCGATTGTTGGTCTAAAGGGGTATCCCTATAGGTTTACAATATCCAGAAACAGCCTCACTGGGATGAGTCGACAGAACTTTTTGATAACCCCATCCTCCATTCTGGTTATCGGGCCTAGCCTGACTTCCTCACCACTTACTGAGTGCCCCATTGTATCCTTTCATATTACTAAGGAACCGCACACACAAAATAGACAATAGACAAATCTGGAAATCCAACAATTACTGCAGAGGAACGAAACTGCGACTCTACAAGAGCATCATTTTGCCAGTTCTTCTTTATGTAGCGGAATGCTGGAGAATGACACACAAGCTGTCCACCTTTCACCATACATGTCTACGTACAATTATCAAAATTTTCTGGCCAGATACAATCTCAAACACTAAACTACTTCAAGCCACAAACCAAGAAATTTTAGACAGTATGATAACCAAGAGAAGATGGAAATGGCTTGGCCACGTTATAAATTTTTTTCAGGTACAGTGGATCACAGCGTCAGATTTCTATGAAGTTTTTAGGCTGTATACTATTTGTTCTTACGGAGATAGTATTTCCTTTTATTGTTCAAATGGTTTATTTCTTGAAAGCTCAAAGACGTATGGGGCTACCGTAAAGTAGTGGCTGGACTCTTGCCCTTTGACCCATCAAGAGGGGTGTCAAGAGGGATGTTAGTATTAACCGACCTTGGCCCTGAGGTTGGCGCAGCCTACAATACGCACAAGGAAATGTTTCAGAAAGTAAAGTCATAACAATTTTGAACCACACGTAGTGAGGATCTGGACTACAGCCCAAACAGGGCAAGATCTGTGCCTGAAGTATTTCAGTTTTTTGTTTGTTCGTTTGTTTGTTGAGAAAATGAATACAGCACATGGGGAAAATCCTGTTAGAATGAATAGCAGCACATTTCAGAGTGGTCCTCATGCGGCTGTTCACGATGAAACATAGGCTATGTGACCAGTTAGAGAGAAGAGCTTTACAAAACAAGATGTGATTTCAAATGGAGTGATATGAAGGACCAAAACTTCAAACTCGATCTTGAACTGACTGAACGTGTATGAATGTTCCAAAGTCTGCCTAGATCATCCTTATAATGAAAGTGGACATTTAATAGTGAAGCCTGGCAATAAACCCATGATCGCCCCCACTTATCTGAATCCCTGGTTTCTTGAACTGGCTGGATGTTCAGTCACTCTGTTATTATGTTCAAGACAGTCCCACACTAGACACTCGAACACTGGAGATACACTCAAACACATGGAGAGGATCTCAGGTACCAAGTCAAACACTTGAGGCATAAACAAACTGCAGGATAAATGATGGTGAAGGTACGACACCCATAATATTGTCTGTAGACCAACTGGAGGATTTCATTAGTTGATGACCACAGAGA